CTGGTAACATCAGTCTTTAAGGTAACTTTTCAGGAATAGTCCTTGACATTGTTTTGAAGCACCAGAGAAAATCAGCATGTCTATGTGATGAAAAAATATACTGCTGGGGTTAGCAGGTATAGCACAGTGGCAGAGTGAGTGCTTATCATGCACAAGGTCCTGGGTTCAATCCCCAGTACCTCCATTAAAAAAAAAGTCATTTGAAGGGAAAAATGTAGTGCTTATTTACAAAGGAAAAAGCTTATTTATAAAGGAAGAGATGGTGCCTTGCGAGGTCTAGGAGGCACCTCTCAGCAGGTATTTGATGAGGACAGGGCCATTCCCCACAGTCATAGCACGCCAGTCACTGGGCACTTACTGCCATTTAACATTGGCTGCATGAATGAATGTGGACAGCATATGGTTACAGGTGTGTACACACACAAACACACACACACACACACACACGCACCACTGAGGCCCAGCCCTTTCTTCTGCTTCCCTCCCCAATTCTTTTGATCACCAAGTCCCTCTCAAACACTCATTGTGAGTCGAGCACTGGCACTATGCCCCAGTAATCCAAAGATAAGCCTTCAAACGATCACCTAGGTCAAAAGGACCCACAAAAGTCAGGTAAATAGCAGACACTGCCATGCTTACGATAACCATCTCAAAAGAAAACAGAACCACTGATCTGTTTCCCCAAACCTGCACATCCCATAGGCTCCCCTGTCTCAGTAAAGGGCAACTTCCCTCTTCCATTGCACAGGCCAAAGACCTTGGAGTCATCCAATCTCTCTCCTCCTCTCTAGTGGAGATGTAGACATAGATGATTCTAAAACGTTGTGGGAAGTGCAAGATCATCTGTGCTCAGGATACATCAGCACAGAGAGGGGCACCTGAGCCTGACAGAAGTGGGGAAGCTATCAAGGGAGGGTGCCTGGAAGATATAAAGCCTGAGCTAAATACTTAGGGTTGAGGAACCAGGCAAGAAGAGCAGGGCAGAATATTCTACGCAGAGGGGCCTGGTAATTATAATGATGATGATGGTGGCAACTAAAACTCGTTGGGTACTTACTGCACACTAGGGATTGCCTAGATGTCTTGTAAGTTAATTCATACTGTCCTCAACAAGCCTATGGGGTAATATTGTCCCATTTTGCAGATAAGAGACCTGAGGCTCAGATAAGAAATAACTAGCCCAAGATAATTTAGCTAGCAAGAAGGAGAGCCAAGGCTGAAACAAGGCAGGCTTGCCTAAGGGTCATACTCTTGACCACCTTGCTTACTGCCCCCTAAGCACAGGATGGAACCAGGGACCTGGGACCCTTTCCAGCTGTCACCAATGAATAAAAGCAGCAATGATGATCTATTTCTGAGACAGCTGACTGTGTGGTTGAGAAGACAAGTAGCTTCAAAGGGAAAGCATAACCACACCCACTCTTCCTTATGCAGCCCAGAAACATGGAAGGAAGGTTCAAGAAGCTACCCTGTGTAAACCACAAGGAAGGTGGAAAAAACAAGACAACTCAAATCATCCAGGCCAACAAATACAAGATGTCCAGATTTTCAAGACCAGTAAAAGCTGACCCCAAAATTTGAGAATTAGCCTAATAGGACTGTCATCTTTATTTTACCAAAAATGGACATTAACAAGATCTGCCAGTTGTCCCCATCGTTAGATCTCTCCACCCGCCATTTATTGTGTCCACCCTCCTCTCCAGGTGCTGCCCCTCCTTCCTCTCTCAGGTGCCACTTCTCCACCAGTCCCTGAAGGCCCAGCTGCCCCAGGGTTCCACCCTTAGCCTCCACCTCGGATCAGTCACTCCTGGTGCTGCAGCCATGGCACAGATAGCCCAACAACTCCCAGGAACCAGCATCTGGGGCCCCAGCTGTCCTCCCAAGCGTCAGACCTGGAGAGCTACCCTCCGGGCATGCTTCAAAACAAAAACCTCTGCTGCTCTCTGTCAACAGTAAGAAAGAAGCCATCTTTGAGTCAACAATAACAAAGAAAAATGAGTCATTACCTCTCTCGTATCCTGTCACTGAACTTTCACCTACTCCCCATCTCTCCCACATTTCTCACACATACAGCCCTTCCTCTTAAGGTCTTGTCTGGGCCTTGGAATATTCTAATCTAAGTATTTCTGGGCAGCTGCTTCCCGGGGACCACATTTCCCAGCCCTCCTTGCATCTAGGCAGTCATGAGACATCTTGTGGTGCAGGAGATGTGGACAGAAAGATATCTACCACCCCCAGTTCTAGCCCATTAAAAACCTCCCACCAGCCCTCTACTGTCTGTCTTCTCCACCTGCTTGCTCCTTGGAACCTGATGCCCAGACGGCCTTAAGAGCCATGGGTTGAGGAAGACAGAGTTTAGGTCTGCCAGTCGGGGTTCCTAAATGACTGCATGGATCAAGGCCCCTACCCTATGCTGACTATTAAGCCTCACTCTAAGACCTGATGTGAGTAAGAAATAATGTCTACTGTGTTAAGGCAGGAAAAACAGAAAAGGAAGAAACTCATTCTTCCAGATAATTGGACTAGCTTCCCAACAGGTCCCCATCACATCCTCCTCTAAATCAGTACTCACACCACTATCTAAGGTATCTTCCTAAAATACACATCTGATAGCTGGTCTCTCCTGCCATTTGACTGACACCCCATCACCTTCAGGGTGAGATCTAAATTCTTTACCATCAACCTCATTAATCTATTCCACAAATCTCACTGAGCACCTGCTAGGTGCAGAGCACAGAACTGAGGACCAGAAGAGGCCAGCCAGGGCCAAGACAGAGGGGCCTCTGCCGCCATAGTTTGTATTTTACTAGGGGCAGTTGGGGGCCATGATGAGAGAATTAAACAGAGGCCACCAGATAAGCAAAGGCTGGGGGTGTTGCAGGAACCGAAGGGCATCCGGGAGGGGCCCAGGATGGAGCGCCGGCAGGGACCAGTTCCCCAGAGACACTGTGGGCCACAGTAGGGAGCTTTCACTTTATTCCAAATCCAACTGAAGCCAAAGACGGCTTGTAAACAGCGGAACAAGAACTGACAGAAGTTTTAAAAGATTCCTTGTCTGCCGGGCAGAGAAAGCGCTCCTGTGTGGGGCGCTCAAAGCAAGCTCTGGAGACCGCGGCGTTGTCGGGCTCTGAGCGGAAGCCAGTCGCAGCCCCTTTTCTTCTAAAGATCCCTCCCCGCTCCCCTGGCCAGGGTTCCCCCACCCCACCCTAGCACTACCACCCCCAGGGTGTCCCACCCGGTACTGGGCTCTAAGTCACTCTGAGACCGCAGGAGTCTCGCGCACAGTGCCAGGTATTCAGTAGGTGCTCAATAAATGTTCGCTGAGGGGAATTAAGAAGGAGAAGCCAGGTAACAGCCAACTCACTCTCTCCCCGAATTTGAGACGGCCAAGAACGGGCTGGGAGTGAAGGGCCCTCTCCCTCGCCCGCCCCGCCCCTCCCCCCCACCCCACCCCCGCCGTCGGGCTCCGGGCGCGGCGCCTTACCCGTCCCTCAGGAACTTGCACTTGCCGTAGAAGAAGAACTTGCAGAGATGCAGCTGCGCGCAGAGCCCCACGCAGCCCGGCTTCGGGCCCTGATGGGAGCTGCAAAGGCGCAGCGGCGAGACGGCCAGCACCACGCGCTCGACGGCCGCCGCGCCGGCCTCGGCCGCCCGCCGCGCCACCACAAAGCGCCCGCGCTCCCTCAGCAGCCGATCCAGCACCTCGGCGACGACCTCCCTCCGCAAGCGGCGCCGCAGCTCCTCCAGCTCCATGGAGCCCCCGGCCGCGCACAGCACCTGGGTCACCTCGCGGAGGAGGGCGGCGGGCGCCATGGCCGTCGGGCCGGGGACTGGAGGGGTGCGGGCGGCTCCCGCCGGGTAGAGACGCCAGCTGGAAACGAAACTGAAAGCTCCCCCGGGCCCAGGGAAAACAGAACCCGGGAGGCCTTGCCACGCCCCCGGGCCCGCTGCTGAGCCCAGCTCGGCGCCTTCCGGCCTCACGGCCCTCGGCTGTACGCGCCACGCCGTCCCGTCGGAAGTTCGGAGGGCCTTCTTCGGCCTCTCAGGGATTCGTCGCCGGGTTCCTCAAAGCGATGAAAGAGTAAGAGTCACCGCTTCCTTCAGGTCGCGCTTTGCGATTCTCGAAGCGCGTTCGCCCGGACCACGCGCGACGGGCGGTGGGGGAGGGGCGCCGCCCCCTCCGCCGAGTCCCGGGCGTTTGGAAATAGCGCGGCCGGCGGACCGGCACCTTTTGCGCCCGGCGCTGGGGCGGAGCAGCCTGGGACGCCCACCTGCGAACGGCGGGGAAACGGCCCAGAGGCCGGACTCCGCTTCCTGGATGCTCACGGAAATCGGGGGCGAGGAGCCTGGGTCCCATCCCAGGTGAAAGCAGTCATTCCGAATTGCAAAACGGGCTTCACTGTTACTTTATTTCCAGTGCCGGCAGTGAATCCCTTATTTTACACGTGAAAGAGAAAATCCGTTTTCTCCGCAGCCCAGCTAAAGATTGACTATTAAAGACCACTGGGGGCAGAGGGACGCTCACAACCGTTACTGAGAGAAATGTGAAGTGTTAGAGCTTGGGGCAGTAATCTGGGAATGGCTATTAAAAATTTTAATGTGGGTGACCTTTGACCCAGCCATCTTCTGGGAATCTTCTAGAAGTAAAAGGAACAGTAAATAATAAGTTATGTACAAAAGTGTGTGTGACTGAAAAACTGCTGTACACCAGAAATTGACACAACATTGTAAACTGACTATAACTCAAAGAAAGAAAGCAAGCAGGCAAGAAAGCTAGTAGAATATGTATAGGAGATTTTCTTATAAAGGTCAAGATTTAATTCAGTTAGGGAGTTTTTGTTGCTGTTGGTTTTTGTTTTTGTTTTTACTTATTTTGTGTAGTAATAAAAGATGGAAAAGTTAAACCTGGGAAAAAAAAAGTATTTGTGTGGAGGATGTAGGGTACCGGGAGCTACGGGGTGGACGGTTACCCAGACTATTAACAGCTCTAACAAGCATGCATTAAATCTCTGCCTGTTGACCTAGAAGGACATCCATGATGTGCTGTTAAGTGAAAAAAGAAAGCTGTATAC